TTTTCCTTGAACTTACTAACGTGTGTATTTTGTTATTAGAAAGAGATACGAGGCATTCAAGTAAGTACTTTAATTGATTTATTGTTAGCATGATATAGAAATCATGTCTAGGTTGTTATTTTAACTCCTAGTATCATGTTAGGATGCTTTCCTTAATTTGATGTTTTGAATGACAACAATAAGTTCCTAGTATCATGTTTAGGGTAAAGTTATAATATCAAATATGCTTATTATGGTTTCTGTGATGCTTCCTATTTTCTTTCCTAATGTTCATGTTCCTAGTATCATGTTAGGGTTTAAAGCTTTGACTTTTGATGTTTAGTGACATGATATGGTTTGTTATTAATCTTGTTAGTATCATGCCTAGGATCTTGCTATTATTATGCTTTAACATAATGATGATTATTTTTATGACTCATGATTATTTTTAATTATGATTATTATGATTGTCATGATTATTATGTTGCTTGATGCTTATTATTTATTTTTATTGCTTGATCACACATTTTATGCATGTTTAAAGGGAATTCGTACTTGTAATCACGCTTAATAAGATAATTAATAATCTTGTTTAGGGTTAATTTGATTATAATTCAAGTGATCGCCAATAATAGTTTTGTTTGTACATTAATATTCAACCAACATAGATTAAACAGGTTTAGGGTAAACCTATTGATTGCATGTTAGTCAGAAAGCGCACATGAATACGAGAAGAATAAAGTAGAGGCCTATTATTAGGGCAAGTTCAATCTCTTTAGGTTGGATTTGTACCCTCATCCCCGAACCAGTTTTGGTTCTAGACCTATTGGAGTTAACGATCTCTTGAATCGTTAAGGGGTGTAACCTTCACCCTATGAACGGTTTACAAGTTCCTAAAACTTATTGACGACTCTTTTGCTCTAGCTTCTTTCCCTTTGAAAGCCACCGTACTTTAGTGTATGATCACAGTGGGGTTCAAGTTTGGGGTAATACTTGAAATATTCCCTACAATTTATAAATACATAACATTCCACCGTTACTACTTCCTCATGTAGCTTGGTTATTAAGTGAAATAATAATGCCAACTTGCCTTGTCATTGAGTGAAAGAGGGAGATTGTGTGGTGGGGTTGGGTAAAAGTAGGAGAGAGAAAACGTATAACTAAAAATTTATGACCATATATAGGGTACATTGGTAAAAATAGGTAAGGTAAAAGATAAAGAAATTACAGAGTAATAAATAAGTGATAACCATAATAGTTGTGGTCACTCTTAGACTCAAAACAATACCTTTTTTTTTTGGGGGGGGGGGGGGGACTCAAACAATACTTTATGTAGTTTAGTGCTACAAAGGATGCAGTAAAGATAGGTTAGCAACTAAGTTTATTAAAGTTAAGAGAAGAAATTATAAACTTATGTTAATCATGAGAACTTTAAACTCGTATAACACACGTAAACTGCATAAATAAACAAGGCTCAAAGTTACTAAGCTTAAAAAGTAATGAGACCGTAATCCAATCATAAGAAGTACCTTTACTTTAGGGAGCATTCCAACATTATGTTATCATTTCTTTAGAACTTGATATCTTTAAGAGTTCAACTCTCTTTATCTCCAAATCAAGTTATCAATTGTCATTGTTACTATTAATTCATATCTTTTCATCTACAAGATTTATCGTCAAAAGTTAATGAGATCATGTAATGATTTGGAATGACGGTATGAGTACATGTTCCATCATGACCATGCACAAACTTTGGTGGCGTAAGTAAGTCTAGTTTGGAGAGATATCAATGGATCAAATTCGAATCCATAATATATCAGCTCCATCCACATCTATTCGTCATTCGCTTTCCTGATCACCCAGATCTTTCTTACCAGTTTCAATATCACTTTTAATTTTCAAAATTTTAAAAGATAGCATAAAGGATCTTAATAGATGTAGTTTAAAATGTAATTTCTAAATATTGATTTTGTAGAATCTTTGTTCATATCATATTGAATATATATGCGGTCAAAGATAAATATTGGAAAATGATTTACAAAAATATGGTTGTTTTACAATTTTATTTACACTTTTGTGTTGAAATAATCTTAAGGCCTGCTCTCTTCAGGTTGTTTTCAGTTCAGTTCAATTCAGCTTCAATAAGTTCAGTTCTGTTCCTTTCAATTCAGTTCAGTTCCTAATTCCCTTCTCTCAAAAAATATTCAGTTCAATAAGAGAATAAAAGAAGTAGTCTCTTAGCCTTATAAAGTGTTTAACTCTCTCTCTCTCTCTCTTCTTCAATAAATGTGAAACACTTACATGTGGTGATATTTGGGAGGCCTATTCTCCAACATGAATCAAGCAATCGCAAAGGACACCGACAGAAAAGGACGAGGAATTTTAAAGGGAGGAAAGTTAGACATTTATAAATGCATAACATTGAATAAAATATTTTTTAAAAACGTGATAGAGAGAGAAAAGAGGAGAGAGATATGAAGAGAGAGGTCTGTAGGTGGACCCCACCTATTTTTTGGTCGGATTGTATCACGTGATGGGGGGCCACATGTTGATTGTTCCACTGAAAGTTTATATGGTACCATTTAATCTTCAGTTGTACTATTTATGCATAAATTTTGTACAACTGAATGCATATATAATACCATCATGTGCATATATGTGGTAATATTCAGTGGTACCATTTGATCATCCAATGATACCAGAAATCCAGAATATGCATTCGTTTGTACGTATGTATAATTACATGAATACCCCTTGTTATCAATTTGTAAATGTCTAACTTTCCTCCATTTCTAGTTCCTCATAAAATGGCTAATGAATACATGCCATGTGGCTGGAATTGAAAAATCATGGGTACATACATCTATTATGTTTGGCAACACTAATTAAAATAAAACTAAAACTAATGACTTAACTAAAATGAAAAGGATATATGATTAATATCTAAAACTGATAAGGTGTTGAAACTGGTAATTAAGGGTTCGTTTGGCATCGCTGTGGTTTTCTATTTTTTGGTTTTTTTTTTCAAAATCATATAATATATGTCATATAATGATTCAAAAATTAGTCAAACTTATCAAAATTATGATAATTTTAAAAACTGACACCAGAAAAGTGGAAACACTTTTTTCTTGTTTCCTGTTTTGGTTTTTGATTTTTAAAAAAATAGAAAACTGAAAACAAAAAATAATGTCAAACAAGCCATAAGTTGGCCGATTAAACAAACACTTAATAGATTTACCAACTTATTAAACAAGACAACAATCAATAGCCAGTGTGAGGATAAGATATGTCGATTGAAATTTTTGTTTTGGAATTACAGTATATATAAATCACAATTTAGCTTTAAAGTCTCCAAATCATTAATAACATTAATTGACCAATATTATGTCAAGCCACATATTTATTTGCATTGTCGGAACACTTTTGACAAAACCATCGCAACACGTATATAACTATATATCTCTCATCACTATTTCACAATTTTCTTGACACAACTAGTTGCTCAAACATTAAGACAATGGAGAGAGTGTGAAAGGTGAATGAGAATAAGAAAATTATATAAGTTGGGGTGTAATAAAATGAATAAAGTACGAGTATTAAAAATTGGGTAGAAAAATGAAAACGTAGTAGGATAAGGAGTAAAATACTTCCTAGTAAAAAGGGTACGCTAAAATAAAATAAGCAACATGTTAAAATTAACAAAACTGTCAAATCTTAAGATGGTCATAAAATAGTATAGAGCAACATGTTATAATCAACAAAACTGTCAAATCGTAAGATGATAATAAAATGAAGATGGTACAACCGTACAAATCTCTATTGTTAACAACAATTTTCATCACCTTATTTTAGTGCTGAATGCTGATCATGTGCAGTCTGGCCCGATTTTGGCCGGGTTTTGGACAGCCGGCCCAAAATATGCCCGACCCATCCAATTATTATTATTATTATTATCATTATTATTATTATTATTATTACCTCATAATTATTAGTTAGTGGAATGCTATTTATTATTATTAAAATCAATCAAATTATACCAAAAAAATCGACATCAAACTCATACGAAATCATAAAATAATTATAAAAACTGGGCTAAGGATTAAGCCAAAAAAAAATGTTCAATCAAACAACTTCTACTCCAAATAGAATTATTGCGATAAGAACATTTTAGAATTGAAATAGATGATGAGAACAATTGAACAAAGGACAATTTATAATATTGCATACAATCATCAGATCAATTATACCTTGTTCATCACCAAATTAAATCATTGGAAGTCATGAAATCTAATTATAAACAATACAGAGAAAGAGCCAAATTGTTTAGATATCCTAAAATATTGTTTTGCATTAGTACTTTATACAAGAGCACATGACAAATAATTTCACTCCAAAAGAGTATTTTAGAATGAAATTGAAGTACTCGTAGTCCGTAATTCAAGTAGTACAACTCACATTATATTCCAAAATCTAAGTAACAAAGATGACCATATTATAAGACAAAGGAAAATTTGCAAATTGCAGCCATTTAAAATTTTTTTTGCAAATTGTAGCCCAAAAGTTCATATAAATTGTAAATTGCAGCCCGATTCAACTTTTTCATCGGTTTACAAGTTGAAAAATCTTCGATTAAGGTTTTAGGGGCCATTTTAGTCCTTAGGAGACCGAATTGAGCTCGGAATTAGCAAAAAAATAACGCAAGTATCTCGTTTTGCGTAATAAAAGTGTATCGATTTGTGAGAAACTGTAAATATGATACACTTACGTTATTTTTTTGTTAATTCCGAGCTCAATTCGGGTCCTTAAGGGCTAAAATGACCCCTAAAACCTTTACCGAAGATTTTTCAACATGTAAACCGATGAAAAAATTGAATCGGACTGCAATTTACAATTTATACGAACTTTTGGGCTGCAATTTGCAAAATAAAATTTAAATAGCTGCAATTTGCAAAATACAAATTTTAAATGACTGCAATTTGCAAAATTTCCTAACACAAATAATAAAATCAGAGAGCATCTTCCAAACAATATTTTCCGTAACAACTATAAATAAGACTACTGCTCGTACCAAACATCAACTTTCAGAAGTCACATGTGGTACCTTATTATCATTTATCAAAGTCACCTCATCTTTCCTTTTCATTCTTGAAAGCAACTGGACAACTAATTTTACTTCTTTCGTTTCAATTTACTTGCATTTCAATCTGATCAAAGTGGTTTCATAAAAGTCGGTCAAATTTAACAAGTAAATTGAGACGGAGAAAATATAAACATAAGTACTTTTAAAATTTTGTGGTGCCTAAAAAGTTAACTTATTTGTCAAAGAGTCAAACCGGATCTTGATATCGAAACCCAAACATGAACACACGAGGTACCATCGGGTATCACGTAACTACTAACTAGCTTAATACTAGCTCAAGACCTAAATAAATATTGTGAACAATAAAATTACTCTTTCTGTTCGAGATTAAAATTAAGAAACGCAATAATAGCATAATTCGAAATTATCTATTAATGCGATAACTAAATCCGAACAGAAAGAGTAACGATAATTAAATCCTATAACTCAAAGTCATAATCAAATCATTAAAGCCTTGCCTTTGCCATTTCCAACAATACCAATATTGTTGTCATTGAAGCTTGAACTGCTACTTTGAACCATGGAGTTCTTACAATGAGCAATTGCACCTTGTATAGCATTCTGAAGCTCCTCCATTGTTGATGTCTCCGACGAGTACGACCCACTTCCATAGCTCGCTAACCCGGCTCGCATCGGCAATCCGGTTCGAGTGAGCACCCCAGAGTGACTCGGAGATGACCGCATCGAAGACGGACAACTAGCCACACAGCTCTTACGGATCATTCTAGGAACTTTCAAGTTCCCTGAAAATGACTGAGTCAACCCACCTCCCACACTACCACCACCTCCACTGGCACCGCCGCTTGCTTCCGCTGTTTCCTTTGTTTCTTCTAACAAAGCTGTCGTCGTCTCCGATAGTAAAATATTCTCTCTCCTTTTATCAGGTATTGGCGATGGTGATTGTTGCTTAGACGAGAGCTTTTCGTAAAGAGGCTTCACTTTTTTCATGTATTTTCTTATAACCTCCTTAGCTGAAGTGCTTACCTTCTTCACCGACGATCCCTCTGTCATCATTGTTGTTGTCATCGTTGTCGTTGTCTTAGTAGAAGGTGGATCTTTCTTAAACACATTCGAGAATCTCGAAAGTGAAAAGTACTTAGATGACGAAGACGATGATGACGACGACGACGACTTCTTAACATTGCTATTGTTGTTAGTGTTGTTGTTGTTGGGACGTGGTTTTAGATAATAATCCTGGCAATTATTATTGCTATAGCTTTTGTTGTTGTTGTTGTTGTCATCGTCGGTGACGGAGCTAGGGCGGGACGAGTCACAACAAGGGTCACCAGCAGCAAGGAGAGAGAGATCAGCGGCGAAAGACGAGGAAGTCGAGTCATTAGACGAGGAAGAATCACGCGAGGCAGTAGTCGTAGTATCGGAAGATGAGGAGGTTGAGGAAGATGCTAACAGTAAGGTACGGACCATAGAAATCCGAGGTGATAAATGAAGAGGCAACAGCTGACCTTTGTAAAACAACTCATCGGCAGGGCAAAGAGCGGCGGAAGACTTACGAGGCGAAATCGAGTTACGGAACTCGAATTCAGATGAGGATGAGGAGGAGGACGCGGATAGTGAATGAGTAGGTGAAGATGGGAGGGTTTTTGATCTATAGTTATTATTAAGTCTAGAATTGTCTAATTTCTTCCCCATTTGATGTAATGATTTGGATCTTAGAAATAAGGGGGAAGGGGGAGGAATATGAATATGGAGATGGGGTTTACATTTTTGAGGGGTGGGAAGGTTCAAAGGAAAGAGATATGATATGATAATAATTGAAGGTGTGGGTTTCTTTTTGTTGTGTTTTGTAGGATAGTGAAGGGATCGATAGTTAGATAGGGAAGAGTGAAGAGGGGAGGTGGTGGAGAGAGAGAGGGTTGTTTCTCCTTATAACGGTAATTTGATTTATTTTTCTTTATTTGGGGGGGAGAAGAGTTAAGGGTTGGATGGGAAGATTGTTTTAAAATTTGTGATGAGAAATCATTTTCTAGAGTTTTCTCTTGTGGTAAATTACGAGTAATGGATTTCTATTAAATAAGTGAAAATTTTAAACCTCAAGGTTTATTTATTTATTTATTTATTTTTGTCTAATTAATTATACTAGACTAAACTAGAAAGTCATTGTATTTAAATTAAATAGTACGTGCAACAAGGTTAATATAATGACACCAAAAAAAAAAAAATCAATTAGTATATTTGGATTTAGCATGACGTTTATTAGAGTATCTAACATTGTTTCTATGTTTAAAGTGTGAACATGATTAAAGAAAATAATAGAGTCTTTCTCGACTGCTTTGCACTAACACTATAATGACTTGACTAAATCACTAAATAGTAGATACCACGCCCCAATCCTACTAACAATGAGGTTTGTAGCCCAAATTTTCTACCACATATTTTCTATTGAGCCATGATTGGTTAGTTTAGACCTTAGAAAGATCAATCATTGAGGATAGAGTTCCATGGAATTCGAGCTATCAAAAGCTAAGTGAAAATATATGCAACAAAATCAATCAATCAAAAGATATGTAGTTATGTTAGACTAAAGGAAAAGAAGAAATTTCCAGTGTCATAAACAAATTCATACTAAAAATATAACATATCCTATTTATCAAATCCTTTTTAACTAATAATTTTTACTATGTAATTAATGTTGATTGATCACCTCTTAAAATCACAAAATCCACAACTAAACTCGTTAAAAACTCGCAAAAGTGAATTAGAAGACATATAAGCAATTAAGCGTATTTAACTATACAATTAATACAAAAAATTAAACTAATTACAATAATAAATAGAAGTCAAATCTTGGATTGCGATTAGGTCATAGCCTTTGTCGCCGAGCCTTACGCTACACCTTAATGCAAACCACACTACATTTACAGCATCCAAAATTGCGGTCCGCTAATCGAGCACAATCTAACCAGTGCAAAGTACAACCAAAGCTTAGCGCACCAATTACGGTCTGACACACTTTCCATAAAATCCATGTGGTTTCACTCTCACCATTGCATGGCACTCAGTTATTCATTCACATTAACACCCACCTTATTTATTAACTTCATTGACCATTTTTAAAATCTAAATTAATACTACCATAATTAATTAGATCTTTTTAACTAACACCCCTAGATAAAATTTTGTGACGGTAATTCAAAAATGCATTATACGAGTAAAATTAAAATTACTCGGTATAATTCAAAAATGCATAAAGAGAGTATATGTTAATCGGTATTTTTTTTTTATTGATAGAAATATTCATTTTAATTCAATATTTCTACTTTTAGTTATACTAGTATTATCCAACGCTCTTAGAACATTCATTAACTTTTGTTTAATTGTAATTAATATTATTTTACTAGATGTACTTAATTAAGTTCATAATTGAGGTGATCATTTAATAAGATTTCACCTCCCAATGACCACCCCCTTAGTACTAAATTACTATTGTAAAGTAATGTTACAGCTGTAGTGTAGAAAGAACAAGCAACTAACGTTATTTATTTAAATGTAGGAGTTAATTACCTCTCTAAAGGGTTTAATTAATCTTTATGAATTGTGTCATTAGTTGAGCAACTGAGATCGAGGGACCAGTGAGCTAAAGGCTTCACTGCTGTCTTTGCAAGGACTATTATTTTGATGGTGGATCGATCACATTAGTCCTATGTATTGTTAATCATTATTACTTCTTAGTTCTTCAATCGCCGTCCCTTCTAAAAATTTAATATAGACCGCATCTCTATTTTGAATTGTCTGGACATGGATTGTTTTACTAGTTAAATTTGGCATGTAGAGTTATATAATATGTAAAGGTGCCAATTTGAATACCTTGGTCAGATTTGGGTAGATCAAGTTGGGTCGGATCGGGGGTATTTTAAAGTTGGATTATGTTAAATTTTCTTTCCATTTAACTCTTATATAGAGTTTATGAAATTATGCCTTTTTAGTAGGCTATGAAATTAAGTAATTACACTTTAAATTAAATCCAATATGAGCATATATAACTTATTCTTTCCATCCCATGATATAATACTCTTGTCCCAGTTTATCTACCTGATTCCACATATAATATGCATGGGGAAGTGTTTCTTTTATTATTAGGAGTACTCCATATTTTTTTTCAAAAATGAATTACATTGAATACAATAAAAAATAAAATAAAAAAACAATTACTCTATATCAGTTTTTCAACATTGAATTGTGTATTATTCAATAAAAGTACAGCTAATACTGCAAATCATGTTATGTCCCACTAAAATTCTCACAAATACATAGATAAACATTATGAGACAAAGGAAGTATTATTTAGAGATAAAAAAAAAACAAAAAAAAAAACTATGCCTTTTTAGTTTAAAATAGATAGTGTTAATCATTTAATTATACAATTCATATACTTGCACAAAAACACACACACACACTGAATCCCAACTTGAGAAACTATTGCCCCTTACCAGGTATAGGCCCCCCTGTCCAATACCCTAATAAAAAAATAATATTTGCAAATTAAAAAAAAAAAGATAAAATAAAATTAGGGGGTAAAATGAAAAAGGGTTGGGTAAAAAAAAAGGAGGAGAGAGAAGTTATTTTCCCCCATTTAGTTGCTGCTCTTCCCGTGAAAAAACAGTCGATCGGCGCCGGTGGTGTAGCTGAAGGTAGCTCAGAGAGGGGAATTTGGCTAGAACTTCCACCTAAATTTGGAAATCCACCTTAATCGGGGTAAACAGTTGGGTAAACCATTTCTCCATGAAAAAACACTAGAGGATTAGATGGAGTTCTCAAAAATGGCATCATAGCTAGTGGCTATTCACCCGAGAACTGGAGGAGATTCCAAATATGGTGGCTATTGATCGAAAATCTCGAGGGAAAGTTGAGCTCCCTTGTGGAACGAAATTAAGCGCAAAGCTCTGATCTATTTTCATGGAATTTGCAAGCTTTTGTAGATAATATACAAATCATGTAGGATGATTATTCATCTAAGCTTTGGATGTTTGGGGTTGAAGTCGACGACGAAAATTATTTGGCAGTCATAACTATTATTGATTTTACATAGTTATTGTTAATTGTTATATTGTTATTTTTTATTAGTATACTGTTATTTTTATTAGTATACTGTTATTGGCTGATTAGTATAATTAAAAAGTTATTTTATTTATCTGTGAATCTTGGTTTATATGCTTTCTGTTTTTTTTGAAAATTTCATGGGTTTGATTTAAATGTTATCGTTTTATTGTTGATTGTATACTACTACTATTGATTTCATGGGTGCAATAATCTAAACCATCATGTAATTGATGAAGAAGATGATGATGATAATGGTGTTTTCTTTGGTTTTGGTGGTGGTGTTAATGGAGGAAAGCGGCAATGACAGATTGACAACAGTGGTGATATCTTTTCCAAAAATTTTGACAGCAGTAAAAATCTTGGTTTACCACAATGTCTTTTTAGCAAAATGACTTCTTTGCCCTTAGTATGGGACACATGTGTCCCTACCGAGTAGCGGGCCATCACAGCTCATCCCAACTTTATGTTATTCATCACTTCAAATAACATAAAGTTGTCAATATTATTTTAAATAATCCAAACTTTAGTAATCGTTATTCGCTTTTAGCTGGCTCAATTGACTAATATCTATAATATTATTAAAATCCAAGGGAACAACATGGTCACGCCATGTGTCACCCTTCCCACAATATGACTAGACGACACACATGTGTGTGAGGTGACATCCTACGTGTCACGTCTTTCCCCAATATAAATTGATTCCATCGGCATTAATTAAAACTCTATAACTTTAATTAAATAAAATTAAAAAAAAAAAAAAAAACTCTTCATATTTATAACCTCCAAATTTAATTCCATAACTTTAATTTTCTATAATAATGTTTAATTTTCATCAAAAACTATTCATATGCATAACCTTCAAATTTAAATTTGACATGCGTATTTTAAATATATTAATGAAAGATTATATAGATTATTACTCCGTATATATTTGACCCACTTATTAATAATCCGTATTGTTTTAACATTAATCCTTTTTATTAATTTTGATCAAACTTAATTATAAATTTATGATATATCGGGGCATCGCCCGGGCCAATAACTAGTTAATATATAATTGTCAATATTTCCACTTATATCCTACCTAGAGTACATTAACCAAGTTTATAAGAAAACCAGTGGAAATGTTTGTAAACCATAAAAAATTCAAACCTGCAATATACAAATAAAGAGGCATAAAATATACGGGAACAATTATTTTATTAATAATTTGTGGGTTACAACTCTCGTAGATCTCTTGATTCCTCTCTCCAAAGGGCTAGGCTTTGATATTTGTTTATAGTACGGGGCCTTATCGGCTTAATCCATACTATGTACCTACAATGTTTGGTAGTAGGGAGGAGATGGGGTCTTTGTGACTTGTTCCATCTGAGCCTAATTAAACCCAAAATTCGACCCTCTTTATGTAGAGAGTCGTAGAGTAAAAGATAATAATCTATGAGATTCAGAAGATAAATATCTTATAATTTTTTATATTATCTCCTTATTTACATATATCCGACACCTAATAATTAACAAAATTTCGGTGTCAACAAATGCCCCTCGAGACCTATTGTGGAGATTTGATATCGGATGCAACTTGATCTCGAAATTTGTTTACACAAATTTCGAGTCTAAATAAATAAAGACGGGAAATAAAGTAACAAATGAATTTATATTAATATGTGATTTTTGGGTACAATCTCTGTATAAAAGTTTATAATAAAATAAACTAAGTCCTTTGATTCTGTTCCGCAGCTGATGATGACACGTATGTAACATCTGTAGGTTGACGTTTGATGACGTCGACTTGAGTTTGAATGCAGGGTGACGTTTGATGATGTCAACCTGTATTCAAGGGTTTTGTTTGAATACACCTGAACGAGGGTTTTGTTTGAATACACCTGTATTCAAGGGTTTTGTTTGAGGGTAAAGTCGTATCCCCTAATCAAAAGTAAATACCTAAGTCCTCTAACTAAAGTAGATAGGGAAGTAGGGTCGAACTCCACAGGGAAACAAGTCTTTTTACTCCTAATAATTATTATAATCTAAATTATC